TAAATAAATAAATAAATAAATAAATAAATAAATAAATAAATAAATATCTTAATCCATAGAAAATAATATTAATAACAAATAGATGTTGTAGGGACAATTTTTAGAGGGAGGAAAGGACCAAGAATGGAAGGATCTTGAATAATAATCAACATCAAATTTCAGGCAGAAAAGAGGAATTCACAAGACATTGAAAAGCTGAGAAGTGGCCAGAGACAGAACATCTAGAACCTCTATTGTCTTCCAAGTCAACAGAAAAGGATTTTGACAAAGAGGTAGAGGTCAGCAGTTTCAAATTCTGTTTACTAGTCATAAAACATGAATGAGAAATATCCCCTGTATTTAACAAGAGGGAGGTTACTATTAATCTTAATGAGAACAGTTGGAGTGGATTGGTGGAGGTAGAAACCAAAATATTTAGGGGCAGTGACAGGAAGCTATGGGGAGTAAATAATAAGAGGAAGTAGAAAGAGCCAGGACATGTAACCTAACAAATAAGTTTGATTTTAAAGAGAAGGAGAGAAGTGAGAAGGGTACTTGGGGTTAATAGATTTTGTCCTTGTGTGTGTGAGCATGTGTGTGTGTTGCATTATGCACCTTGCAACCATGTCAACATGTTAAATTCTGATGGGAAAGAAACGGAGAGGGACATTACTGGAGATACAGTAGAGAGAGGGTATTACTAGCATTAGTGCATGAGAAGGCCAGAGGGGTGGGATTCTGACAACAGTGAGAGGCACCACTTGCGCTGAAAGTAGAGAGAAAGTAGAAAGGTGATAAGTCTGATATAAGACGCCTGTTCTTTGTCAGGGAATTAAGGAAGTGTTGCCACGAGACACAGCCCTATTAGAGTTAGTTTTATCTGCCCCTTCCTAGCCACATTTCTTTCCCTTCTTCAAGTGCTGAGGTCATGGGGCCTTATAACCCTTGCCATCCTGTGAGAAAGGTGGTTGGAGCTAAGGAAATCTGTGATCCAGCCCAAGCCTTCGCACTGTTTGATCAGTGTCATCCTCCCCTATGCTGCTTTGTTTTCTCCTCACAACATAAATTCTATCCTCTGTCCATAGACATTTAGAAACACTTCTCTTAATTAAGTTAAAAACTCTTTGTGGGAGTAAAACATGTATTGTCCAGTTTTGTATCTTCCCCTTCAGTAACTTACATACAAATGGCTCTCAAAAGCAATTATTTCAAAAATTGAATAAAAATGCTACCTAGTGTCTAACTTAAACAATTCATTATCTATCTAATAATCGTTTTTCACTTCAAACACTAAAGTATCATAATTTCTGTTTACCTCATAAAAAGTGAATTGATATATATGTTTTCTAGTGATCACAGAAAGAAGACAAACACTTTGTAGCATTTATTTAACTTGTAGATATTGTAGAAGCTCTTATAATGTGATTCATTTTAATGAACCTCCAAAGTAACAAATTACTGGATTTTCTTTTTTTCATAGTTTATTAAAGATTTCTTCTTTAGTTCTTTTCAGATCTATTTATTTCAAATCCATTGCAGAGTCATCCAAAATTTAAGACATTTAGATTAATTTTAGGCATCACAGAATGCAGCTAATGTTTCTGCGGTTTTATATTTCTACATCTCTTGAATATACCCTTAAATATTGGTAATATCATATCCTGCCAACAATCCTTTCCCCCTTCCCCTCTGATATTGAGCCTGTATTTAATATCTATTAACCTAAATATATTCAAATGCAAGTCATGTGGTTGGGAATGCCTTTCTGCTGTTAGTATTTCTAATACATTTTTTCAATTTTCATTTATTCACAGTAACTAGATTTGAAATCCAGTTACTTTTATGTTTAATCAGCTTTGCACTGAATTCTGAGCCACCAACACTGACTGTTTAATGGTACGTTGCTGCCCTCTAGCTTATGTTTGAAAACTTTTCTATAATGTAACAATTTATCCAGTAGTCTCTTGGATATGCCCAATAAATTGATATTCATTTGTATATAATGAATCATATATTAGCGGTTTTATAAACATTAAATTTTTATAGTTATTATTTAAAGTGTTATTTTTCTTTCCAGGTAAAACTGATTGTATTAATCTTAGGGAACATCTTAAAAAGAAAAGAAAAGAAAAAGCTTTGTTATGTCATTGTGTAGCAGGTTCTCAGCCAATTTCTTTTTGCCTTAATTTACACATTTCCCCTCCATGTAGGTTGGCTATTTTCAAAACTCAATGTGTTTTCTTATCTTTTATTTCTTAAGCAGCCAGAGAGAAGTATCAAATCCTTTATGCTCTCAATGAATGCTGAGTTCTTGTCAAATAATATTTCTTAAAATGAAACAAAATAAATGATTGGCACTATTTCAAATTCTAAGGACGGTCAGAAATTTCAGCCAGGTGTTTTTTGGTGTTCAAAAAAATTATGAAACTACTTAAGGCTTGATTTACTATTATCTGACAAAAGTTCTGAAATAATGTTATGGCATCATACTTTTGATAAGATCTTCTGGTCTGGATAGAGATATCAAGCACATATCTACTACCTACGTCTGTTCATTTTAATGCCTAGAAGCCTTAAAATTAAAATGTAATATTCAGCATAATTTTCGGTGTTGTACTCAGCTGAGTCCGTGTAGTGAAGGGCATTTTGGTGTAGCACAGAGACCATGAGACTGAGAGTAGAAACCTGGATTTGATTCCTAGTTCTTTCAACACAACAACTTTTTAGGGTCTTAAATCTCTTGTTTTTAAAAATAATAAGTATACCTTTCTCATAAAATTGTAGACAGCATGAAATAAGGAAATGAATGAGAAAGTGCCCACATGATGTATGTTATGTACTAGGAGCTTAATAAACCTTTGTTTAATCTGTATCTAGTATACACATTCAATTGTTCCTAGTCTTCTGATTAAGGGTAATTCTATCCCTTTCTTTCTTCTTCTCCCTTATCAAAGTTTTCTTGCTCGTTGCTTGTCTTTTTATATACTGTTTTTCAGTCAGGCTTCTTTTTAAAAATTCAAACTACTTTAAGAAAAAGGGAATTTTTTTTAAAAAAATTAGATATTTAATAGAATCTGGGAGGTCCAGAAAATCAGGTTCAGAAGCTATGCTTGACTCTTCCAGAGACCTGACAGCCACTGGCATTGGACAATAGCAAAACCAATGCCCCCCCACAATGCCACCCCAGGATGGCACCCATGGATGCCTGTCGCTGCTGCCTCCTTCAGGCTCAGCAGAGTGGAGTCCCTGAGGGTTTTATGACTGCATCTTGCATGGTCCTTGTACCATGGCAGCAAGAGAAACTGGGAAGGTGAGGTTCTGACTTCTACTTGGGAGACAAGAGCCCAAAGAAGAGGGATTCCACAAATGTAAGAGAGCTACTGAAAGGTTCCCCATGGCTAAAAAACATGACAACTTCACCTTGCTCTCTCTTTTTTTGTTTTGTTTTTGTTGTTGTTGTTGTTGTTGTTGTTCTTGTTCTTTTGATCCCCATCAAGCTAATCAAATGGTGTTTATTCAGGAGTTTCTAGAAGCAGAAAACCTGAAGAAGTTCTTCTAATGGCAGAAATTGTAGGATCAATGAAAAAACACAAACTGTTGGTCTTCTCCACTGTCTCTATTCCTCCCTCTCTCAGGATATGTGAATTTGTGTGTTTTATACTGAACAAGCACAGTATTGTATTATGCTAATAACATATGCATTGATTGATTGATTGATTGATTAAACATTAATTGAATTCCAGAAAATATGCAAGGAACAAGAAGTATTAATGCAAATGTAAGTAAGATCTGTTCCTTTTATTCTTAGAATTCACATCCTAATTAGGAAGTATCATGCAAACCCCTAATTTTAGGCAGCATGAGAAGAGCTTTAATAGGGAAGGCACTGTGCACATAGGTAATGTTTAAAGATACAAATTCTAACCCCTATAATAGAAAACCCAGGGTTAAAGGTATTGTCCATTTATATCTATATCATAAACATATTGGTAAGTATATTTTGTCAAACAGATGACTGGAGATATGTCAATAGACTGTTCTGTTTTACTGATAAGCTCAGACTTCACTGTATGCTTTCCATTTTTATTCAGATTAAAGTTTTTTTATCTTTCATTGCCTTCAAATAATCATTTCAAGCTTTGTTGTTATTCAGACACTGTAAAATGAAATTTTAGATTATAGAATGTCCTTGAAAATAGAAACTTGTTACTACAATACTAATGTTTTAGTTTCTAGTCTTAAAACATTATCGCTTTTAATTTACATTTCTTATGTATACTCATTTAATAACCAACTTTAAATTCAGTAATCACATTTTTCCCCTAAGCTTTGATTAGAACAATTATAGTAAATGAAAATAAGAAAGTAATTTTTGTAAAGCTATTCATAAAAAACCCTTTTCGAGCCATAAAGAAGCTTTCCAAATAGTTTTTTTCAGCATTAGGCCTCCAAAAAAAAATTATTTCTGTTCTGCTTAAGACACCCAGATCCAAAACTCTTTCATTGTCTGCTCATCTTTGTTTTGGTCTCCCCTAGTATAATGGCTCCCAGCAAAAGGCCTAGCACACAAATGGTGCTCAATAAGTGCTGCTGAATGAATGTCTGACCCTCTTAACCCAGCCTAAGAAGGTAGAAGCATCAGCAGAAAGTCCCTTCAACAATAGAAAGCCTATGAACAGATGAAAGAAATAGAAAAATAGGTAACTGATTTTGACATGTACCTACCCCAATTTGTCTTTGGCCCTGAACTCTGTTGGCCAGTGCCTCTTTTCGGGTTGCCTTAAAGAACAAGAATATACATCAGCACACACCTGACTGAAATCTTGGTGGAGACTGCCACACCAACTTACGTTATCAACTGATTTGTAATCTATGGCTGAATATTTTCTGTTGACTCACTACTGTACACTTAATTCTGAAGATAATATATATAATGTCTTCACATGGCATCCTGAGTACTGTGTTTTAAGTTATGCTATTAATGTGAAAGGGGAAAAAAGGGCTTCAAACACTGTGATTAACAGACTTTTTACAGCATCTTTTACTTATTATGGTAAAATGAAGTCAATGCATTAGACACATTTCATTAAGGCCTATGGACTATAAAGGGATATGCCAGTTTATAGGGATAGGTTAGAGCCAATCCCATTTTTTGCATGTGTGGATCCCTTTGATTAACTCAGATTATCCTCTTTAGAAGTGGGATTATCCTCTTTAGAAGTGGGAATATTGAGGAAGTGGTCTTTCACTGGTTCTTATACCTTTTTTCTTTCATCCCCAAATCCCTCAAATGCCCCACTCATATGCACGCACGCGCGCACACACACATACACACATTCAAAACACACATGCAAAAGAGAAAAATTTCATTGCAACTAACAAAGAATCAAAACCATTGTGGCCTAAAGAAGATAGAAGTTTGGTTCTCTCTCAGGTAAATGTCTGGATGTAGGCAAGTCAAACTGCTCTACAAAGCAGAGGTTCCACCTTATTACTGCACCCTGTGGAGCAAACCTTCCTTCCCAAGGACATTATCCTAGCCATATTATCTGTAGGCCAGTCAGCAGGAAGGGTGAAGGTAGCTAGAGAGAAAAGGCAGAGTACACAGCATCTGTCACTTAGAAAAATGTCCTAAAGTGTGGTAGGGCATGATGGCTCACGCTTGTAATCCTAGCACTTTGGGAGGCCAAGGCGGGCTGTTCACCTGAGGTCAGGAGTGCAAGACCAGACTGGCCAACATGGTGAAACCCCATCTCTACTAAAAGGCCAGGCATGGTAGCAGGCACCTGTGATCCCAGCCACTTGGGAGGCTGAGGCAGAAGAATTGCTTGAACCCAGGGGGCAGAGATTGTAGTGAGCCAAGACCCGCCATTGCACTTCAGCCTGGGTGACAAAGTGAGACTCCATCTCGAAAAAAAAAAAAAATACAAGAAAAGAAAAGAAAATGTCCTAAAGAACTTACATACAACACTTCTACTTTCACCTCTTTGCACTGAACCTAATAACATGACCACATCCAACCTTAATGAAGGCTCAGAAATATCATTTCATTTTTCATTGCTTTCAATGAACATATTGAGGCTTTATTACTGAGAACAGAGGGGGAAATGAATATAGGCAGACAACTAGAAAATTGGCATGAGAGTCTTCCTTATCCCTCACATGATGTAATGTGTGGGATTTCATTTTGGAGGTTTCAGGACAGATTCCCTTCCTTCCCCCACCTACCCTACACTATCTTTTTCTCTACCCCATATGCATCCATGAATTTTATTCTTTTCTTTTTTTTAAGACAGTGTCTCACTCTGTCCCCCAAGCTGTAGTGCAGTGGTGTGATCATGGCTCACTGCAGCCTCAAATGCTGAGGCTCAAGCGATCCTCCCTTCTCAGCCTCCCAATTAGCTGGGACTACAGGCACATGCCACCATGCCAGGGTTTGTTTTGTTGTTGTTTTTTTTTTTTTTTTTTTTAGAAATGGGTTCTCTATGTGGTCCAGGCTGGACTCAAACTCCTCGCCTCAAGCAATCCTCCCGCCTTGGCCTCCCAAAGTGCTGGGAACTTTCTTCTTATGTATCCAAACACACTTCTTTTGTGTGTGGAGAAAAGAAGGGAGTAATTAGTGAAGGACAGACTGACTTTCACTATTTAAGCTACTGAGTACTAAGAATTTTAATAAGAGGATCTGAGCCAAATTCTCATCCTCTCCTTGTGTGTTTGCTATCTAAATTGAAACCACAGTCAGTTTTAATTGAACATAAAATCTGCTGTTTGATCCTAAGCAGTAGAACAACATTTTCATTTGCTAGTAAGTGGATTTTGGACTTCCTCCCAAAAGAAGCTAAACTTTAGTGATAGTTACAATATTATCTCATTCAAACAAAGGCCTGGAACATGTAATATTCTCTGGGGAGGTACCAAGCTCTGTGAGCAGCAGATTTAGTAATTTGAATAACAAACTTAAACTCCAAACAGCCCCGGCTAGCCGGGAAGTTGTTCTGACACTCCACAGAGCACGAGAGGTTTCAGAGGGACATCTAGTTTCAAAGAGTGAAGCAGAGTAGACAGAGCCCGCCTACCCTCACACACAAACTTCTTTCTATCTATACTTTATGTATCAAACTTCTATACGAGGCATTGTTTAAAGAAAGGCTTTAACTACTTTTAAAATCTGACCTCGTTTTTCCCAGCTCCAATTCTATTCCTTAGGGATTTGTTTCTTGAGGACATTATAACCTTGAAATTCATAAGCTTTTCAGGAGCTAGTGGAAAAGCGTGAAAAGAGAAGTGACTTAGGGGAAAACTGCCTACCTGTCATTATTTTGGCAAAAGTTTATTTAACTTGTTTAGAAAGACCATAATGATGCACACAACCTAGATTCACAATATTATTTGATTAGCAAGACTATATTAGTATATTTGTCTCCCTGGAAGTCATAACCTATGTGTACCATTAAAATTTTTCCTCCTTTTATTTTTTTTCTTTTTTAGTCATTTAAATTTGCTTTCTAATGCTTAAGTCTTTTTTTTTAATGTGCAAATATATTTATTGCCCCCCAAAATTGGATATTCCTATCCAGGTCAACATACACATAGGAAATAACTAACTGACAAGATCTGGTAAGTTTGCATATTGTAGCTTCAACACGACTTTGTTGTTTGTTTCTGTTATCAGAATCTTCTCAGCAGTCCTACTTCATCTGTCAAATATTCCATGGAGGAAAAAAAAAAAGTCAAAAGCATTCCTAGTCTTGTTATTGTTACTGTTGTTAATTACAAAAGTTCAGTCTTTGTTTTGGTAGATTAGCTTTAAGTAACAATTACATCTTTAAAGGAGTAGTTATGAGTTCTACTCTAAATAAAATACTCTAAGAATTTATTTCTCTCTGCAGCTATTTCTTCATTCTCCAACTCATATTTCTTCATGGCAACAAAATATCGAATAAAGGTTTCTCCTAGAGCCTGCCTCAGACATTGATCTTCTTCCAGTGCCATAAGGGCATCTTCCAGTTTTAAAGGGATCTCAGAAGTTTCCGCTTGGTAAAAGTCTGTGCTCTCATCTGGACCAGCCAAGACCTCATTACTGCTATGAAGTCCATCTAAGCCTGCAGCAACAGTTGCAGCCAGCACCAAGTAAGGGTTTGCTGTTGCTGAGCCTAGCTTATTTTCTATCCGGGCGCCTTTCTCTCCATGACACTTGATATTAAATATACAGCTGTTGTCATTGTATCCCCACGTTGTAGGCACACTGTCCTTCAGGTCTTTACGGTCCTTGGAATAACGCTTTCGGCAGCTAACAGTAGGCGCCATCAGGCAGCTGAGTGCGGCAGAGTGCTTCAAGAGTCCTGCCAACCATTTTTTCCCAGTGATCGTCAGCTGCTCAGTTCCAGAAGTGCTGCAAAACATGTTCTTCTTCCTATCGACATCCCAGAGACTATGAGACAAAATCCCTGAATTACAAAATCCAGTCTCAATGAAGAAGCTGGAAATGTAATTGTATTTCCTTGCCACTTCTTTGACACCTGTTCTGAGGGTAAATGCATTATCAGCTGAGCTAATGCCAAATTCAGGCAGGAAACAGATTTCCATCTGACCAGGCCTGGTAGAGGAGGAAAAACTCTCGACATTTGCTCCAGTGTGATACAAGCCATCAACAAGTTCCTGCATGAAGGGCTGATCATGGTTATTTAAAAATGTTGAAGCAGGAAATGATATAGTCTTTGAATTTAAAAATTCGGGCACACCAAAAATGCAGAAATCACAGATGAAAGCAGAAAGCAGGGAAAAGCCAGAGGCCTGCAGCTGGCTCAGCTGCCTCTTTGCAATGTACCTTGGGGAAGTCAAAAGAGGCTCACCAGTCACAGTGAAAGTATCACATATCACTCTTGCAGTTCTATCAGCCCATGGCAAAACTCTAAAGGTTGATATCTCTGGCATTAGGACTATGTCACTATTAAAACATGTGGCTCTTATGCGATTCATTTCACTGTCCTTAGGATTCGGTATCACTTCAAGATAACCTCGGGGCATGCAAACTCCATGGCTCACTTTCTCCTAAAGAAGGAAAAAAAATGAAGAAATTAGGTTTTGAAAACAAACAAAAGGGTTGGGGGAGAAAAAGCCTTGCTAATGAAAAAAAAATATATATATATATACACACACACATATATATATATATATGTTTAACATTTGTTGGTTAACACTAACTTGGTATCAGATAAATGTCAAATATTTTAAAATAAAACCCCCAAACAATGCAATGTTTTAAGCCTTGAAGGCCTTAAATGCTCTTAGATCTCAAAATAGCAGTTATAAATAAAAGATATAATGATAAAGAAAATCCGTTATAGCAAAAAATAAAGGTAAAGCCTTATGGAATTATTTGAAATTATCATCATCAAAAGTACTTCCTGAAGCACTTTTTATTTTATAGTACAGTTGTTAATTCTTCAGATAAGGCTTTATTTTTGCTTATTTTACTGTAACCCTGAGTTAACTGACCCTCAAAAGTCTACAGTAAACAATTCTCAATCCTTCTCAAATTGCAGACTATGGTCAATACTGTGGCACACAGCACATTTGTCCTAACACCAGGGGAGCCAGGACGCTGACAGCTGCATTCCTCTCTTTATTCACTCTTACAACCCATTTAAGAATTAAAAAACTCACTGTCTGAGAGTCCCAGAACCCTTGTCTGTGAATGTGGACCTGTAACTCCAAAGTTAGAGCTTCCAAAATGTTGTAACCTTCAAGTCAGCGTGAACTGGGTGTCAACAGATCTGCCTTCTCATCCTAGCTCTTTCATTAATTGCTTCTGTGAATTTTGGCAAGTCACTGGGTTATGTGCCTCAGCTTCCACATCGGTAAAACACGTGTTAGACTAGACGATTGCTAAGGTACTTTCTAGTCGTTTATTTCTAGGTTTCAGTGAATTTGGTCATTTATTTAACTTTTGCTCTGTGCCAGGCAACAGGGAAGCGATAAGGTTATTAAGTTGAACAGACGCGTAAAACAATTTCTGGAAATTATGTATTAGATATATCAACAAGGTTGAAGGTTACTTTAATAGATGGAGAAAAATCACTGAGTATAAAAGGTTGGTTCCCATGAAGTCAGTGAAGATCATGAGGTTAATAAAACAACCTAGCAATCTGTAAGCCAGATGCTTTCCTTTTCTTTCTTTCTCTTTCTTTCTCTTTTTTTCCGCTTATAAACAACAGAAATTTATTCCTCTTTAGTTCTGGAGACTGAGAAGTACAAGATGAAGGCAACAGCTGATATGGTGTCTGGTGAGGGCTGCTTTCTGGTTCGTATATGGCTTCTTCTTGTGTATCCTCACATGGTGGAAGGAAGCCAGACTATTTCTTATGTTACCTCCAGAATCCAAGAAGCATGGCTATCAAAGAGGGGCTGGTATTAGCCAAAGTAATTTACTGGTTCACTCTTCTGCATTTGCCCATGAACCACTGCCTCCTTCACTTTCCACCATCTCTACACACATTTTTGAATGCTATTTGACTGAACTGATCCAAGTCTACTTTCACTAATAATAAAGTTGAGTGAGCCAAACACTATTTGGTGCCTACCTAATTTTCCAACTCACTCATAGACCTGTACATGTAAACTTTATGCACACACACACACACACACACACACACACACGCACGCATACTGTGGGATATTTGAATACTATAGCATGGAATCCTTTAATTCATATTTTCACTATAAGCAATAATGTCATTTCCCTGCTTGTCAGTTTTTTAGTTTGAAATTCCGTATATTAGTTCTTTACATAACTAAAATGAGAAATAATATATTTTATTCATGAGACTTCTATGAGTTCCTGCAATTTAAATCTGTGTTTGTATTCACTTGGCTGTGAGTAGTAGAGAACAGCTGGGTTGCCATTTCACTCCAATAGTCCTTCGTGAACTCAAAAAATAGTAAAAAGTCACACTTTATTCTTTAGATTATTTAATCCGTATTTTTTTGAACACTCTTTTCTGGCACTGTAATTTGCTTTATTCTTTTTTTGGACATAGAGAATGCAAACTACTCTCTATTAGTTATGGGAAATATATGAATATACATGAATATACTCATGATAATATATTGTCTGAAGCAGCGTTTATAGATATAAAGCACTGGAACAACTTCATCTTCAATATAGATCACTATGGGCTCAATAAAATGTTTGCAGAATAACTTAAATCCTTATCAAAAATGAAACTTGGACCATAGTAAAGGTTATCTTTTGAAATAAGCCAAGAATTAGTTACGAGTCTATAGCAATGTATCATGTTTTGGCTAGATCAAATATAGAAAGAGCCTACATTATTTGCATATAATTTAAATAAAAATCAACACTTTTGATAGAACAGAGATAATATAAGTTGGTTGTAAGGTTTAAACCTTAAACACCACACACACATGCAATGTTTAGGTTACTTTGCACAAATGAATTTTTTTTTTTGAGATGGAATAAAGTACACACACACACGATATTTAGGTTACTTTGCACAGATGAATCTGTTTTTTTCTTTTTTTTTGGAGACGCTGTTTCACTCTTTTTGCCCAGGCTGGAGTGCAATGGCGTGATCTCGGCTCACTGCAACCTTTGCCTTCCAGGTTCAAGTGATTCTCCTGCCTCAGCCTCCCAAGTAACTGGATTACAGGCCCCTGTCATCAGGCCCAGCTAATTTTTGTATTTTTAGTAGAGACGGGGTTTCACCATGTTGGTCAGGCTGGTCTCAAACTCCTGACCTCAGGTGATCCGCCCACCTCAACATCCCAAAGTGCTAGGATTACAGGCATAAGCCACTGCGCCTGGCCTCTTAAACCTATTTTTAATGTCTAGTCACAGCAAATTTTCCAAAATAAATTATTTTGTCTTAAATTACAAATATTCATTGTGCTAATATCATTATTTATACCTTCACAAGTTTCAAAAATGAATTTAAAGTGGCTTCTTAAAAAAATATCGATACTCTATGATCATTAAATGAGAACAAAATAATAATAACGAGGTAATGAAATAGTGAAGTTAGTTATTAGGAAACTGGGACTAAGAATAAATATAGCCATTGAGAAGGTGTATAATGAGTTACAATAAAATTCTCATGATAGACAAACTTTTTCTCTAGCTAAACTCTAGAAAAAAAAGTGTTTTTTATATGTGGGATATTGAACAAAATAGTGAAAAATATTTTCAGTAACAGTTGGATAAAAATAGTATGCAGAATTTTTCTCTTTGTGTCAATTATATCAATCCTTAGCAAGTATAAGCAGCATACTGTTTTATTTTTGTAAAAGGATTCCACTGAGAAACTAGAGTAATGTCCTATATATGGACTTGTAGGTGCCATTAGTAAAATAAATGATTAAAATTTGATAAAAACTGAATAGCAAACAGTTTTATATTGAGGTCTCTGGCAAGTACTTAAAGTGCCAGTTACTTTTCCTTATGATTGGAAGAGATTCATTTGAATTATATTCTGGGCCTGTCCACAAGAAAATCCACATTTTTTATAAAAATTAAACAACGTATATTCTTGCCTGGATGAAGAGGAAACAATATCTGCAAGCAGCTCCAAATAATTCCTTAAGAAACAAGTTTGAATCTGTTAGAATTCTTTAAAAAGTGTTTTTGAAGATGTCCAGTTTTTCCCAACATGAAGCAAATTTAACAATTAGAATCTGATATTAATGTGATAAAAGTATAATATTTTAAAATAGTTAAACCTAGAGGATGCTTAACTTTCACACTTTCTTAAATAGTACCAACCTGATGTCCCTTGCTAAGAAATTTGATATTTAATTAACACAACAACTCAGTCATCAAAATAAACACATGACAAAAACTGATACAAAAAATTAAGGAAGTCTCAAAACAACAAAAACACAGTATTTGTTGATATCATCATTTTCGGGAATTTAATAATATTCATTAAGTCATCCAACAACAATGGACTATTTTCTTATCAGAATTTGGAGCCGAAAGGAATATGTTTTTTATCTAGCAAATTATTTCTATTTAATCATTTTTTCCTCTTTATGTTTGCTCTTGGGTCTTCTGTTGCAATTTTCTTGTGTCAAATAAAATACAATCTTCATAATTGCAGTAAGGGAGAAAAAATAATTCTGTAGAGCAAAATTATTCAAGGCAGAAGGACTAAATTTACCAGTCTTAATTAGTTTTGTATTTCTATTGGGTAAAGAAATTGCTGTTTGAGAGCCAAGAGTACACGTTTAGCTCCTTGGGGAGCAATAACATGTTTGGGAGGAACAAGGGAAGAAACAAAATAAGTTATTGATTTTCAGCTTGAATTGCTGTATAGATTACAAGAAAATAAGAAACAGTAATAAGAACCATTTGCCTGCTAATGGTCATGAAATTACATTCAGTCACAACTGTGTGTTAAACTCACTTGAAAAAAGTGTGCAGGGATAGTCTTAGACCTGGACACGCCATGGAGGTCTGTTGCTTCAAATCGTACAAACTGGAGGCGATTTTTGGCCATGGCTTGTCTAATGTGTTTCATTCTAGAAGAGAGTTGAGGTGGGGCCAGAATTTGACTGCTGTCCCTCATGCAATCTGCAAAATAAAAAAAAATAGGTTCTAACTCAGGAGATCATGATGGACTGAGAAGCAAAAGGAGATTACAGAGTAGTGAATTAGTCAATATTATTAATAAAAACATTAATATTCATCATGTCACTGGCTTACAGTTGGATCTCTTACTTTTCTCATTCTACCCTTACCATCTTCCCAAGAATATTGTGTCTAAACAACCTGAGATCATTTATCAGTTAGGACGAGGTCAAAATTGACATTATTTGCATAAGGATATAGCGAAATCATATGCAGATACTTACTGAAAATCCTTTTGCTTATGGAAATTAGAACATATTTGCATAAGTTCACAGCAAAAAAGGGACCATAAAAGCCTGTCTGTAGGTGACTATTATTGAACATATTTGGGCTTCTTGAACTAACTGTTAATTTCTAAATTTAAATTTCTATGTGATTAAAAGTGAATTTGGTTTTATTTTCTGGGGTTTTGTCTCATTCTGGGAGTTTTTTACCCAAAGGGCTTTATATATTTTTAACGGCATCTAACTCTAAGAAGTCTACACATTTCTGTCAAATTTAAAACTTGCTTAAATAAGCAAACAAATGTGTCTTTTTTTTTTTTTTTTTAAGAATGAGCATGTAGGAGATTAAAAATCTGGACTGCGTACTCAATTTAAAATTAGAAACATAAAAAATGTTCTTTTCAAGAATTTAAGATAGTTTGCAAATTCCAACTTCAGAGCTAGAAGAGAATCTTGGAGATAAATCATTTAATCTAACCAACTCGTTAGCTTGAGTCCCAAAGTGGCACAATGAGTTACTCCAAACCACACTATCAGTTCACTGCAGAACTGAAACTAGAATGCAGATTTTTGATTCACGCTGGGTGGTTTATTACCACAAATTAAATTAGTATGTCTATAGCACACAGAATTGTCAGGCAAATAGTATACATTATAAATGTTAGTTGCTGTCAGAACTTTTAGGAGAGGCAGCAGAGTGTAGTTTGGGTTAGCACAAAACACTGAAGCCCATCCACCTCCATTCCAATCCTACCTTTGCCCTAGCAACAATCTTATCCTCTTTATGCCTTGAATTTCTCATTAGTAACATATGACCTACTTCACAGGCTTGTTAGGAGGATTAAACAGGTTATTAACAGTTATTGGCAGACAGTAAGCACCATATAAGTGCTACTTAAATGCATAAAGTGAGTACAAGTACTCTAGCCCTAGTAAATGGTATCATGATCAAGTCTGCAACCAAACACTCATCAATCCGTCACATCATTGATGTTGAGCAGCTATAATTCTAAAGAGATACCTGAGTATTCTTTTGCAAGATATAATTAGGCTTTAAAACTAAGCATAAAGATTGACAGTTTAGAAACATAGATTAAGTAGATTTTAAGTACACGAAGCATGGGAAAAACAAATTACTGGTTCCATATATGCAAATACATTAGTGATAATGTGCTATCACTGATACATTTGGCTACTCTGAAACTCTGGAGGCTTTATAACTACCTTCCATTTAAAACAAACAAACTGTAGCAATTAAAGTGTTTCATGCTAAATTAACACTTGCTGTATTCCCAACCTACTCTGAAATATTAGGTATTCAGCCCAAGATGAATAATGCTCCTTAAAGCAAAATTGATAGGCATTTTAAAATATGGAAATTTGGGTCATGTGCGGTGGCTCACTCCTGTAATACCTGCACTTTGGCAGGTTGAGGTGGGCAGATCACTTGGGGTCAGGAGTTCAAGACCAGCCTAGGCAACATGGCAAAACCCTATCTTTACTAAAAATACAAAAATGTGCTGGGTGTGGTGTTGTGCTCCCGTAGTCCCAGCTACTCAGGAGGCTGAAACACAAGAATTGCTTGAGCCTGGGAGGTGGAGGTTGCAGTGAGCCAAGATCGCACCACTGTACTCCAGCCTGGACGACAAAGAGAGACTGTCTTAAAAAATAATAATAATAATATGGAAATTTTTAGATAATGAATATTCTAAACATAATAAGAAATTATACATAAGCTATAAAGAAGACATCCCTTATAAAAGGAGAAAGGTAATTTTATTGGTTCACCAGTAATAGGGTAACAGGTAGTCTTACTAGCTTTTTGCTTTATCTGTGTCTCCTAAACTTTCTACAATGAATACATATTATTTTAAAATAAGAATAATATTCGGCTGGGCACAGTGGCTCAAACCTGTAATCCCAGCACTTTGGGAGGCTGAGGCGGGTGGATCACGAAGTCAGGAGTTCAAGGCCAGCCTGACCAACATGGTGAAACCCCATCTCTATAAAAATAAAAAAAAATTTTTTTAAATAGCCAGGCGGTGGCATTCGCCTGTAATCTCAGTTACTCAGGAGGCTGAGGCAGGAGAATCTCTTGAGTCCAGGAGGCGGAAATTGCAGTGAGCTGAGATGGTGCCATTGTACTCCAGCCTGGGCGACGTCCATCTCAAAAAACAAAAATAATCAATAAAAATAATAATAATATTCATTCACTCAACATAGATATTTTTCATCATCACATACTATTCATACTGAACGTGTATCTGGGAATCAGCCAGGAAGAGCCCTACCCTTACAGAACTTTATATTATAAAGTGGGGCAGGTATAGATAATAAACATGCCATCAAATGCAAGGGTGGGATAAGTTCACACAGTAAAAGGGCTGAAAAAAGAACAAAACAAAACCATAATCACCTGAAGTATTAATTGTATGAGACTTGATCACAACATAGACAGCTCTAACCCTTGATTCATTTTGAAGTCTCTAAGTTGCTCTGTGACTGGACAGTGAGTAGAGTACATGTATTAGTTTGCTAAAGCTACTATGACAAATGCCCCAGACAGGCGGCTTAAACAGAAATTTATTTTCTCATAGTTCTGAAGGCTAGAGGTCGGAAACCAAAGGTGTCAGCAGGATTGCTTCTTCTAAGGTCTCTCTCCCCTTGGCTAATAGACAGCCATCTTCTTCCAGCACCTTCACATGTTCTTTTCTCTGTGCATGTCTGTGACCTAATCTCTTCTTCTTAGGAGGACATGAATTATACTGAATTAGGGGTCACCCTGCTGACCTCATTTAACCTTAATTACCCCTTTAAAGAGTGTACCTCCAAATTCAGCCACATTATCAGGTACCGAAGGTTAGGATATCATTTTAACAATTTTGGAGAAACACCATTCAACACATAACAGTGTATCATTCTGTTTCTATTATCTTCAGTGTCCTTATTGGCACCTGCCACACTGTATACTCACATGTTTCTGTCATCCCCCTTTGCCTATCAGCTCCTTGAGAGCCAAGGCTTAGTTTTACCCGCTGCTGTTTTCTTGGTACTTGTAGCAGTATAGGCATCTCATAGCCATTGGACAAATATTTTTTAAATAAGTGAGTGAGTGAATGAATGAATACATCCTGTGTGATTTGACCTTGTCTAATTGATAAGTAAAAGTTGTCATCATATATTTTAGTATATATCCTAAGTATCTATTTTTCATTTAAAAGTTTCTTTCACCAAATATGAGAAACCTATCCAATCCCATTTCATTTTCTAGGCATCGACTGATCTTGCTGCATCATTGTCTGAATTTTTCTTCAATAAATCATACTTGTTATTTACAATTAAACCTTTTGGTCAGCCTTTCCCAGTTGCACAAGATGAATAGCTGGCAGATAATTGCCAGTTCAGGAGCTCATTTGTTTTTCCTACAGTGTGGTTCCTGGGAGATTTTCTTCTTTTCTATTCCATCAAGGGATTAATAAATTAAATCAATGTGTTTTTATAGAAGATGTTTTAGTGCTGTGCATGTTTAGGGAAAAAAATAAGAAAACATTTTTTAAAAAAAAGTCAAAGCTCTATAGCAACTAGTAGGCCTTGGAGAAATTTTGTCCGTGTTCAGTGACAATGAGGACATATATCAGTTATACAGAACAAGCCATGGTCACTTATAAAACGGAGATTGAAGAGACGTTTGGGCTTCAGAAACACCAATTCAAAGAAAGGGAAAAGTGCATTTGAGAGAAAACCCTGGAATACATTCAGCTTACTGCACACCTAGTATAATGTACCATGCTGTTTCAAGGTCCAGCCATCTTTCATCATTGTGGCTATGGTGAGAGTCACCCTGTTTGTGCTACCTTCTGCCCACATCATATTAGCGCAGACATTGTTGGAAAGCCCAGGTGGCAGAATAACCAGGTACAAAGCGGGGAAAAAAAGCAATACAATAAAAAGTGGGAGGGAAAGGGGGCTTTTCTTTGAAAAAAACAAAGTATTATTTTTGGAGAAACTCAGAGAAGTTATTCCAAAGAAGCAATACCATATCAAAATTCCTTACACTTATTTTTGGGGTTTATTTTAAATTTTTTTTTAAATTATGTATATGTATTGGTTTGTGTTTTAAATTTTTGGTACTGAGGGCCTATAGAGAACTTAATACACTCTGGGCCAAAAAGGGAACTTCTGAGCTAAAGAAGTTGAGTTAGTAACGGTACCCATGCCCTAAGTCACAACTGACAGTGCAAAGAGAGCTCACGACACAAGATCTTTCTCCAGATTTCTGGCTTAAGACAAAGAAATGGAAAATCCATCTCTCTTTTGCAGCTAAAACTAGAATATATAAAACAATGACCATAAGCTCTGGAGGAGCCAGTGTGGCCAGCAGATGTTATCTGATTAGTCTTCCCAGTGTTCAGAAACTTTTTTGAAATAGTGGACAGCACTTCACTATTAGAAAATTTTATGTAAAAATCTTGAGTTCAAATTTATTTTGAAACTAGATCTGGCAACCCTGGGTAGGTATTTCTCCACAGCAACAAGTGGTTGGAACTCTGAGGTAGTCTAGATGGGCAGGCAACCTCTACTTAACGGGGTGGCAAACATTTTCTGTAAAGGAACAGATAGTAAATATTTGAAACCATGTAGGCCATATGGTATTCGTTGCAGCTACTCATTTAGCACAATGTCATTTCAGCACAAAAGCAGCTATAAACAATTTGTAAACATTACTTAGAAAAACTGACCAGCAAGCTGAATTTGCCTTTGGGCCATAGTTTGTTGCTCTCTGCTCCAGTTTACTCATGACCAGAACCACTCCCTATGTTCTTATACTAGCCCATCTTTTGTATTAACTGTCTGGCCCCTGTGGACATTTGTATCAACAGCTGCCTGATGTTCAGAGGTTGGTAGTGCTCATGCTCTTCACTTTGGATAAATTCATAAAGCCAAAGTAGAGAGAAATTCAGTTATGAAAGATGGTGTGGTAGTGAGATGGGAGAGTTCCCTGACCTCCTCGCGGGGCTTGCCACAGGGACATGACTCATTTACTCGGCCATTGCACTCAAACCACTTATGGGAGGGGGGAACGTGCAGGTGAGCCAAGGTGAGCACTTTCGGGTTGCGGCCCTATGGCAGTGTTTAGGGGTGTTACCATGCTCTTTTAGCTCTACCATCCATGGACGGCTAAGTGTTAACCAGCTCAGTGGAAAGTCCGGGTAACAGCCTTTTACACCCTATTCTCTAGGTACCCAGCTCCTCGTCCGGAGTCCAGGAAGAATCAGGTCACATGGACTAAAAGGACGGCAAATGTAGGGATTTTATTGAGTGATGGAGGTGGCTCTCAGTGGGATGGTTGGGGAGCAGGAAATGGGATGGAGTGGGAATACCATTTTCCCCTGGAGTTTGGCTGTCCCGCGATGGATCTCCTCTCTGACCGTCCCCAGCTAAACTCCTCTCCACCTTCAGATGCTCCTTCTCTGCCATGCTGTTCTGCTGCTCTGTCAGTGGAGCTTGGGGTTTATATGGGCATAGGATAGGGACATGGTGGGCCAGAGTGGTCTTGGAAAAGGCAACATTTTGGAACAAAAACAGAAATGCCTGTTCCTATTCAGGGCCATGGGTTTCCAGGCTTGAGGGTGGGGCCTTTGCCGGGGAACTGCCCTCTTCTACACAGTATTTCCCTGCCTCCTCTTGGTATCAGTAGACAGAATAGCCCTACGAAAATTCCTACCATACCTAATCTCTGGAACATGTGAATATGTTAAATTGCATGGCAAAAGGGACTTTGCAAATGTAATTAAGGTTATGGACTTTAAAATAGGGATATTATCTTGGATTATCCATGTAAGCCCTTGAAATTAGATGGCTTTCTCCAGCTGAAGGCAGAAAAGGGATGTGGAAGAAGGGGAATTCAGAGAACTTCTAAATATGAGAAGGATTTGAGGCATTGTTATCTCTGAGATTAAAAAAAAAAAAAAAAACCGAGAGAGGCTTCTGGGAGATAAGGGTCACCCCAGCTGACAGACAGCCAGGACACAAGAACCTCAATTCTACAGTCACAAAGAACTGGATTCTCTCAACAATCTGAATGAACTTGTAAATGTACTGTTCCCTGGAGTCTCTAGATAAGAACCCAGATGGCAATACCTTGACTTCAGCCTTGGAAAGCCTGAAACAAGGAAACCAGATGAACCAACCTAGACTTCTAACATACAAAACTGTGAGATAGTACACTTGTATTTTCAAAAAGATAGTAAGTTTGTGGTAATTTGTTATGGTGGCAATAGAAGACTAATACATATAGAATTCTGATAGTGTTTATTTTCCAGGCTGTAGCTTCTCCTCAGGCCCTGTGTGTACTAAAGGATTTAACCTTGCCCAAAGAGAGCTGTGGTCTCTGCCCTTGGTCCCTTCCAAACAGTTAGAATGTCTTGCCTGACAAGAGTGTCTTTGTTTACCAAGAGGTTCTAGGCCACGCCAGAAACTCTAACAATGTTATTTATAGTGGTGACTTCAAGTCATGCAGTAACTGCTTGATCCCCAAAGGGGCTGGAGAGTGAGGTCAGCCAAATGCCCAGTTAACCATGAAGCCCCAGTAAAGACTCTGGACACCAAGACTCAAGTGAGCTTCCCTGGTTGGCAATATTCCTCATGTCATTGCCAAGAGAATAATGCTGTCTGTCCGTGTCTCCACTAAGAAAGGACAAGTGAACAAAGAACAAGTGAACATTCTGTGCTTAGAAGTTGCCTGGACTGCCCATGGCAGATTTTAATCTGTATCCTTGTAGTGTAATTCAGTGAGTCCTTCCAGCAAATTATCTAAACTAAGGTTAACTTGGGGAATTCCAAAACTTGTAATTTGTGTCAGAAGTGAGGGTAACATGGTAGACACTATCCCTCTAACTTCCCACTCTGGTATATTCTCATCTTTCCAAATCTTGTATGTTTAACCCTGTCATTATAGATTTCCTTTTTTCTGAGGCGGGTAGTGGGGTAGGGTCTCTCTCTGTTACCCTGGCTGGAATGCAGTAGCACAATCACAACTCACTGTAGCTTCAACCTCCTGGGCTCAAATGATCATCCTACCTCATTCCCCTAAGTAGCTAGGACCACAGGCATGTGCCCACACACACAGCTAATTTTTTTATTGTGTAGAAACGGGGTCTGCCTATGTTGCCCAGGCTGGTCTCGAATTCCACTTCTCAAGTGATCTCCCCACCTCAGCCTCCCAAAGTGCTGGGATTACAGGTGTAAGCCACTGTGCCTGGCTTTTAGATTTCCTTTTATAACCAATTTCCAGCATTTTCATTCAAGTGAGTTTTAATCAATACACTCATGTACCAAAATAGTTACATCACTATCAATCAGCCAGAAACTTAGAATAATAGGATTTTACTTTTAGAAAAGGCAAGACATCTTCCATTGCAACCCCGCTATTTTCCAGATGAACAGCCTAAAGGGTAAAGAAAACTACAAAGCATTTTATAAAAGATAGGTATAAAAATCTTTGTAAGTGTTCTGACTTCCAGGCTAGTATTCCTCAACCAACATTACATTCTCTCTAATTCAAATACAGACTTAGGGTTAGGGGCTAGAACCACATACCAGTTTGTTCCAGAACCCTTACCAGTAAATCCTTACCAGAGTTTGGGTTAAATTCACCTCCAGGAACATTGGTGGTTGTTCTGGGGGGCAATGGTGTTATCACTGTTGTCTCATCCTGAGACTCCTTGTCATGATGTGACAGATGAGACTCATCAGAACCAGGTCCCATGATGGGTTTGCTTGTATTCCCTAATTTGTGGCACACAATTTGGTTTCTGATCCTCTCTGTAGTAATAAGGAAAAATGTTAAAATATGTTCCCATTGTTTTCAGCTGTCTCTTAATATAATATGGAGAGGAATACTTGAGAAAATAGTATATTCCTAGCAGTGACATATTAAATGAGGGGCAATGGGAGTGGTCTACCCTAGTCACTGGCCAAGAAAGTGCACTGCTTGTAGAGAATTTAAAAACAGGCCAGGTGCAGTGGCTCATGTCTGTAGCCTGTAATCCCAGCATTTTGGGAGGCTGAGGCAGGTGGATCATTTGAGGTCAGGAGTTCGAGACCAGACCAGCCAACATGGTGAAACTCCATCTCTACTAAAAATACAAAAAAATTAGCCTGGCGTGGTGGCATGCCCTGTAATCCCATCTACCCAGGAGACTGAGGCAGGAGGATCGCTTGAGCCCGGGAGACAGAGATTGCAGTGAGCCAAGATCATGCCACTGCACTCCAGCCTGGGTGACAGAGTGAGACTGTCTCTAAACAGATAGATAGATAGATAGATAGATAGATAGATAGATAGATAGATAGATAGATAGATAGATTCTACTAAAATCTGATTTCTTTTTATTATAATCATATGCTGGGAATTCCTGGGGACACAGCGATTCCTAGGATTGAGCCTGTCGCCCAAATTAACTTCTAGTTTTAGCAGTGTCTCAGATCTGTTGAGATCTAATTGGAGTTCCAAAATGTGTTATGAAAACACCTTCCATACCATTCTTATGGCCCCTCAAATCCTCTGTAATGATTCTTGTATTCATTTTCAGAGCAAAAAACTGTCTCTCTTCCTACTCATACATTCCTCTGTTTTGTTCTTTTTTTTTTTCTACTACTATCATCCTAATCCTAACCCTCTTTACATTGTAAATATTTTGATTGGTTATTTTTATATATTCACATTGTAAGCTTATATTTGCCATCTTTTATGACACCTATATAGGAATAAATTTTATTTGTCCTTTTGCTTCTCCCAAAAAAGAAATGAAGATGTTTTATGAAAAAAAAGACCAAATGGAGATTGCCATTGACCACACCATTTCTGAGGGCTCAGAGTAGTTAGATACCATTTGAATTGGACATATCCATTTCTCCGACTTCAGTGGAACAAACACGTGGTTTAGTGACTTTCTTCCTTAATTTATTCATGCTGTTGTCTTCAGTCTCACTGCCTTCATCTCTTGTTGAGTCCTGTTGATAATTAATAAACAGAAAGCCAAATAACAGATTATTCAAACAATTATATCTGGATGTCAAAAGAGTATATTTGAATAGCTCAATTTTTTAATGAGCATAGAAGACTTTTATAATGATGAAAATTTTGTCACTTCCACACTCACCTGAATAACTCAAAATTTAAAAGCCCAACGTTGTGCTGATAGGCCAGATATTCTCTATCTCCTTTTATATGTGGTACAGAAAATATTGTTAAGTTAATTAAAACCTTGTCTAATTACTCAAGATTTCTATGTTTATTTTTTACTTGGGGAATTTTATATTATTTATTCCTAAATATTTTTGCAAAACCTATTTTAACTAAAAAGTTTACTTTTTATGATTTCTATTTTTTAGGATTTCTAACCTTTTTGTCTGAAGGCATAGGCATCTGAAGAATTGTGTTTTCTGCTCTCTTTTTCCTTATGTAAAAGGAAAAATTAATAATGCAATAAATAATTGCATCAATATTTACTTCACTGCAAAAAAGTACTTGAGTTCATGAAGTGCTATTTTGTGACTGTGTTTTATATGTGTAAAACAAACATCATGACCAAACCATTTTATAGCTTAAGAAAATCTAAGGAAATGCATTTAAAACAAAATAACCTAGCTTTCACAATCTAGTTATAATCTTCGACATGAGAGGATGTGCCCAGTGGGGAGCTGGGCAGTGAGGCAAGGGCTGGTGCTGGGAACTCAGGAATCTCAGCACTAACAGTGCACAGAGTCACCCCTGCAGTCCCAAGACACAAAAGCTGTCACTGAAAAAAATATACCAAAAATTTTGAAAAAGCTGACACTGATATTTTTAAGGTTTTTTACAAACCCCTCATAGTGGTTTGAAGAGAGAGGAAAGTGACAGGGTCAGGGTCAAAAAGCATGTCGTAAATGCTTTGAGCTTAGTATCTTCATGAAAAGCAGCCTCCGAGGGGGTTCACCTCTGTAGGCAAGTTATATAAATATATGTTGAGTAGTTGCTGGGGAGCAACTGTATCAGTTTACCTATAAAACCAGTTCATCCTCCCAAGGCTAAAACAGAAAAAGAAAGATTTTCATTTTTTGCTGTTTGTATGTAATTATGATGCATTGCTATTATTGTTATTAACAAAGTTATATTTCCTAGAACAAAGGCTTTTCTGTAATTTTAAAGTTTCACTTATTAGAAAATTGTGGTCTTTTTCACTCCACATAACCTTATATTTGGATAATATGATACTTAATATATGATATAATAAATAATTTTGTAAGTAGTTTAGGATTTAATTTCAATATTTGCATAAATTTTCCCAACACACTTCTGATGGAATCTGGCAGAAATATAAAGATTTATTGTACATGTTCACCATGTCTAAAATTGTTTTGCTAGAAATGCGTAGTCTATAATTTTACTTTTGTTAAATTCGTATGTATATATTTATTTTTATTTATTTATTTATATAGTCTTTTAAAGAAGTATTGTTTAGAAAATGAAATACTTAGCCAGGTATATAATTATCAATGCAATATGAGCAGACTAAATTTGTCTTAGCTTGACCCTTTCTCATATATAATCTTTTCATATATAAATTGAAGGAATCGGGTGAGATAAACTTTAACATCTCTTTGAGTTTCAAACTCTAACCTCCAACTGAATAAACAATTAAATAACAATGTGTTAAAATTGAGCACATTGTCAAGCATGTTTTCTCATGGTACCCCTTAAGTTAATAAAATCTCACCATTTTACAAATAAGAAAAATGAGACTCAGAGTAACTTGCCCCAGGCCACAAGAGTGAATGAAAGATGCAGTTTCTAAAAATACTTTGTTTTTCAACATGCCATTCTGCTTCCTAAAAGCCAGAGATCTAAGACAAAAGAAAGGTATTTTTAGAAACATTCACTTGCCCTCATATAAACCAGATCAAAAGGGAAAGTTTCTTAAGGAAAAAAAAAAAATGTTCCTAGTTACTAACTGAGAATTTTACCAATAAGAGCCCCAAAACGGCCGGGTGTGGTGGTTTACGCCTGTAATCCCAGCACTTTGGGAGGCCAAGGCGGGTGGATCACGAGGTCAGGAGATCGAGACCAGCCTGGTCAACATGGTGAAACCCCATCTCTACTAAAAATACAAAAATTAGCCAGGCGTGGTTGCACGTGCCTGTAATCCCAGCTACTCGGGAGGCTGAGGCAGGAGAATCGCTTGAACCCGGGAGGCGGAGGTTGCAGTGAGCCGAGATGGCGCCATTGCATTCTAGCCTGGGCAAGAAGAGTGAGACTCGGTATCAAAAAAATAAAAAAGCCCAAAAACTAAGTTGTAGTACATACCTTTTACTTCATAAAAATGCTCAAAAAAGGGAGTGGGAGTTTCAAATGAAGAATACATTTCATTCAATCCTTTGGTTTTCTTTTACATACGAGGGTGATCAGCATATAAACATATCTATAATGAAACAAATTTATTGGATCCCTCATTTATCCCACCTCCAGTAGAGTATTTTTATTCTCCTTAATCCTTAATCTTTTAATTGCACTTAGGTGCAATGTGAATGATGCTTCAGTGAAAAACCTACTAGCCCAGATGATTGAGGTTTGTGTTGTAATTCTGACCTTTCCACAAAGTAGCAAGTCCTTCTAGAGCCTTGGCATTCTCATCTGTAAACACTAATATAAATACAATCATATTGTTAAATTTAACTGAGCCTAGAGCTGCCTCCTTACATATTTTAAGCTTGACTTAAGCATTCTAAGCAGACTAGAAACTACTCTTCTACCAATCACAGAGTTTCAGCCAATCACAGGTGGCCAATTGTTCAAAACATATTCAAACACTGTTTCTGTGTCTCATTTCCATCTTCTGCACCAAGATGGAAATCTTCTGTACATCACTTTTCTTTTCCTGTCCATAAATATCATCTGACCATGTGACAGTCTAAGAGTCGCTCTGAATGTATTCTGGTTCTGAGGGCTGCCTGACTCTTGAATTGTTCTTTAATTGAATTTAAAATTTAATTTTTCTAAAGGTTTTCTTTTAACAGATGGCCTCAGAAGTGAGATTTGAAGTAGAGCTTCCAGCAACCCCCAGGAGCACGGAGTGATTAAGCAAGGTATCCACCAGTTCCATCGTGTCCATTGCTCTCTCGAATCAACAGGGGATCATGGGTAAGTTGTCTCTCCAATTATGGAGATACTTGTGTTTGTGTTTTGATTATTTAAATTTGGATGTGCACATTTTTTATCTTAACTAGGTTCAGAAGTCATGACAGACACTGGACTGGGTTAGACTTAATAATTAACTGGTTTATATCCAGTTAGAAGTCTTAGATAGCTGACTGGTCAGACAAACTGGCAATAAATGGCAATACTGCAGAAGGTGTGAACTCTGGCTTTCAAAAATTCACCAGGATTTTGTGTTCTACAATGCATTAGGTAGGGAAAAACCTTTGGCTTAGTTGATCGAGATGTGAGAGCCAAAACCAATATTCAACATAAAAATGGGATCCTTAATTTCTGAAGAATGGAGCACTCTACTTTTGTCTACCCCATACCTCTACATGTATAATTATTAGGTCCTACGAGCTACAAATACGTACAAAAATGGCAAAATCTTATAATTTAAAATTATAGTGGAATGGTCCAAATAACACCAACACCACACTTTAAGAAGTGCATTTAAAAATGAAGGCTCCCAAATTAGGCATATCCAGGGACGCCTATTGATGTGCAGAACCTTCTAAAAAAGTTAGTATTTCTATTGCTTCTTTTAAAAGTCTTTCAAAGGGCAAATAGAAAGCTTAAGCAGCTAATTGACAAGAAAAATTGAATCTGCTAATCTTTTGGCTTAGTTACTATCCTGCCCCAAAGATAAAAAGCGAGTTATATAAAGTGTTCATGGAAGGTAGGCCCTCAAGTAAAGTAGACTTTTTTCTTTTCTGAGCTATCCATGCTGAGACCACACATAGAGAATTGTTTCCTGGCCTTATTAATTAATAGACTCCAACCTGAACTCAGTAATTTTAGCTAAAAAATAGTGGCTAACTTAAAAAGACTGCCTATTGAACTAAATTGGTCTCCAAATTCACCTTTCTGGCATTTAGCTGGCTATTTTGAAACACATTTTTAAAGGAAATTTACATCTGTAAAGGAGACCTCCATTTTTAAGGGTGTCTGCCTCTGTGCAGTAGGAAGAGAGGAAAGACTAAGTTACTAGAGACTCTTATCATTGACTTAGATTTATGTAAGAAGTCTCACCTCTAAAGTACCTTTTCCTATCCATCCTGTCTTTACTGGGCATTTATCCACATCCTCCTTCCTTGATTAGTGCAAAAGATGGTACAACACGTAGGCCTAAAGTCTCAGCTGTATGCATTTGAGAGATAAAATTTCTACATTATTTTACCTAAAAGTCATCCCTTTGGAAGTGAAATTTTAGGATTTTCTAGCTAAGAATTGCTTAGAACAATGAAACAGGTAATTGGAATATTGATAGTCTGAACTGGGGGAAAGAAAAACTATTAGGAAACTAGCAAATGAAAAATTTTTCTGAAAACTTTAACTTCTGCTCTTGTCTGTGTGTCTGTCTATATGTATATATCTGTTATGTGTATCAGATGTTTCTTTCTGATCTTATATAATATTTGGCAAATGAAGCACGCTTTTATATTGTTGGCAAAATAAAATACGAATATCTTCAGAATTGCCAATACTAAATATAATTCAGAATTTTTTTTTCTGGGTCTACTGGTCAGAAAGGTTTATGCTGTTTTTGCTATATTTTTTTTTTTTTTTTTTTTTTTTTTTGAGGCGGAGTCTCGCTCTGTCACCCAGGCTGGAGTGCAGTGGCCGGATCTCAGCTCACTGCAAGCTCCACCTCCCGGGTTCACGCCATTCTCCTGCCTCAGCCTCCCAAGTAGCTGGGACTACAGACGCCCGCCACCTCGCCTGGCTAGTTTTTTTGTATTTTTAGTAGAGACGGGGTTTCACCGTGTTAGCCAGG